GTATGTATGTATGTATGTATGTATGTATGTATGTATGTATGTATGTATGTATGTATGTATGCGCGTGTATGTGTGTATGGTCTGTTAAGCTGTTTTACAGATTGTTAAAATGCAATTACTGATATTCATAAACTGAAATATGGAGTTTCAGTGAAAAGTTTTTCAGACCAAATTATGGACCCGTTTGTACCTCGCGAGGGGCCATCACCAGACAACCCGTATACAATTTTCCGCAAAAATCCTTTGAAGCTTCTGGGCTTTCCGTTTTTGTTACCTCCAGAATTTCACGAGAAAAAGCAGTCGCTGGAATATGCGTTGTTGAGGGCGGAAGGAGGACTAATCAAAAAATACCAGCATAAGTGTGTTCTTCATTTTCCTTATAAAATCTCAACAACTTTTTGTATTCTGAAAAAATCAGTGTTGCAAAAAAAACTCATCGCCACTCACTACTTTACTTATTTCTAGATACTTCAATTACAAGCATGGCATAAAAAGGATGCGAAAACGGAAGGGATTCGAGGATTTCAGTGTTAAAGTAAGTCTTTTTGACAGATTAAAGATAAGCGTTTTCACTCCAGCACAGTTTCTTAAATTTTGCACCCAAATTGGTGGATTTAGTGCCCATATTCAATTTGCTTAAAACTCAGAGTTTTATCAGATTTTTTTGCCCCAGATTCCACGTACATCATGCACGATCCACGTAATGAATTTAATATATAGCGCATATGATTACGCAGGTTTATTCGGATCTTTCTGGCAAATCTGATGCCTGCAGACTGATTTTCTGTCTGTGCAGCTGGCGACTTTCCAGTGCTTTGACCAGTGTCGCATCGTCTGGCAGTTACCTTGCTGGTGATCTTGATTTTTGCCATGCTTGCTTCCTGGAAAAATTACCAGTTCAAGGGTCTCCAAATAAAAGCACTTGGTAGAGCTTTAGCCGTTTCGATGAGATCTCTAGTGTTGCAGCTCCCTGAAAATCATGAAATGCTTTATCTGATCGGTAGACTACCCCACCTGATAAACTTTGCCTGATCAATGTGGTAGCTCACCTGATAAATCGGTCCTGAAATGAAAAACATTGCATTTTTTTTTAAATCCACGTTTATTTTGTGTTGAATTTGGTATAAATGGGTTCGGTATCGCCAATTTTTGTGTAATTGTGGTACATTGACCATGCTAAAATTATTATGCTGTATATGGCCAATTTTCATCACTTCGCAATTGCTTTTTTTAGATAATTTTCCACTTTTTTCAGACTTTCCCTACTGTTGCTGATGAAGTATATGTTGAAGCACACAAAGCACTCATGGCTCGTGATAAGATTGCTATGCAAAAGTACATAACCGAAACCGCTTTTGGAGTAAGCGTTCATTTTTTTTCGTGTGAAATTTGAAGTCATTCTTCAAAATCATTGAATTCATCGAAAGAGTATCCAATTTTTAGCGAAAATTAGCTAGTACCAGGCTTTTTTTTGAAAATTCAGGAACCAGAATTTGCCTAGGGGCCTTTTTCTTGTTTGTTTAGCTTTACTGGAAGTAACGTTCTTTGTATCACAAGCATATGTATTTAGAGGTATTACCTTTGAATCAGAAAGCTTTGAATTCTTGGATGGAGTGAAAATTCAAAGCAAAATGTGAGGTGCTTTGTGCAGAATATCAGGAGATATTGCAGAAAATGTGGCCGGATGTTGAATGCGGATCAGTGGTCTGGGATCTGGTGAGCCATATCGAGCCGTCACGGGTTGTATCGGTACGTTGCACCGATTTCCCGCATCAATCCGGCAATGATATAGCGCAAATTATTGTACGAATGAATACAATGCAGGTGTGTCTTTATGTTTTTTTAATATATTTTTCAATTTTAGAAAATTGGCTTGTTCAATTTCCTAAATTTTCAATTGTTGGATCGAAAAAGGAGCCAAAAAGGCTATGAAAAATTCCTCAGTAGTACTTCAACGATAATACACATGTGAGATTCTCAGACTTGTTCCCTGTTTATATAAATGATAATTTCACCTCTTCCCCTCCCCCTACCCCTCCTCCACGCCGCCTGTTATAGTTTCTTTGATCAGCGTTGATGATAAGCTTGTTGGAAATTTTGGCATTCCTTTCATACCCTTAAAGAGATACTGGAAATTTCTTAGTGACTCTGAAAGAATTACCAATACCTAAAAATTTTCCCGATGGAATCACTGGGCAAATGATCTGTAGCTCTTTCGAGGTGGTCTCCATTAGTGTGCGTTGAGCATAACCATCTTCAGAACGATGGTAGTTCTAAGCCAGTGTTTTTTTTTTGTTTTTTTGTTTTTTTTTTGAAGAATTAAGCAACAACTTTAATAATGCGTAAGATCAGATAAAACAGAAGATGAATGAACAGGAAGGAGAGGTTTGAAAGGGCATATAGTGAGAGAAGAATATTATGTAAAAAATCTATTAAAAAATGTACTACTATGTCGACAAATATTGATCCGAGCTCTTGCCATCTCTTGCTTTTTGGCCCTACAGATTATTCAGTACTTTATGTTACTATAATTATTAAATTCATACGTGTATTACAACATATTTGCGCATTTTTATCTAATAGAATAGAGAGATAATTCAACATCTGAGAAGGAATATTTATGCATTTATCGTTATTTTTATGCTGATATTTTTCGCTATGTATTTTTTGCAGAAAATTGCACTATATGATCGTTTTGGTCGGCTTTTGCTTGGATCGGAGCATGAAGCCAAACCTGTGCTGGAATATGTTGTTTTTGAGAATCATATTGCAAGTGCGGATGGAACCTGGCGGCTTCATGATAAAGTGTATCCAGAATGGATCAAACCAAAAGAAGATCTACCAAGGCTAGTGCCGCTCATGTATATTGAAATACACTTAGAAGAGCTTTTATTCGTTTAAAATAATTATTAATCGTAATTTTCTTGGATTTTTTTTTTGCAGGAATACAGGAATTTCTCAGTTGCATTTACGGCCCTCGCATAGACAGCCACTGAAATTGGGCGCTGGTCGAGAAATGCCGAAAGGAGCAGTTGAAGAAAATGAATAGAAATGATATAAATTTGTTTTGTGGCTTTTTTTTTGTACATTTTTTTGGCACGTTTTTTCAGAATCTCTTCTTTTTCAGGATCAGATTTTCAGCAGGGAGAACTTTACATCGAATTTCATTGAATTGGTTGCTTGGGGATAGGAATTTCACTGAATTTTTTGTTTAAATGGAAAGTAACGGATTCGAGCAAAATTCAGTGTAACATATGATATTTGAATGGAACTAAAACTGGCAGGGGCAATGTCCGAGGTAGAAGAGCGTTGTAGCACATGTAAATTTATTCATCGTAGAGTGTAAACTGTTTCTGTTTCATCCCTTAGCTGTAAACACAGTTAGGTCTGCCTTCAAAAAATGTTGTTTGCTAGCAAATGATTGTGAATGTTAGCTTAATTTCTTTGCTTTTTCCAAAAATAAAAAAAGATAAAAATAAAACAGATTTACTTGTGCGTTATGAATAAGTGAAGTTACAGAGCTTTTGTTCAGCTCAGCTTATTTTCGTGTTTCTCAAAAATCCTTATTTGCTACTTTGTCGTTTTCGCGTCTTAGGCCAAGCACTGTTGCTTTAGTTAATTTACGGGGGATTTCCTGTGTCGTCGTTTTTGTGTCTAAGACCTTCTGCTGTTGCCATAGTTAATTTATTAGAAATTTGCAGTTTGAAAGTTCCTAAGAAAGTTGTGTAGTTGCTGTTGGGGAAGCGATGAAAATGTCGGACAGCAAGGACGATAGCAAATTGGAAGAAAGCCAGCGAAAAGTGCAGACTCATATCGAAGAGGATGACGAGTTCGAGGAGTTTCCACAACAGGACTGGCAAGCCAAGGAAGGCACCGAGGATGAAGAGGTCGGTGTTAACATTCCGAATTCATACTTAGGTTTTCTTTGTATGGAGATGAAAGCTGACAAAGGTCAGGTTCTTTTCTCCGAGCATTCGGAACTGAGAATTAGACTTTTTTTAGGAGTTGGAATCTGGCAAGGGTCAGGTTTTTTTTCTTAAAGCTAGGAAGTCCCTTCCTCACCGTCACAGCAACCTTGCAATTTATAATTTCCCCGTACGAGATTAGTGATAACATTCGGAATTCATACTTTCAGAATACGGGATTCGGAATACGGGATTTTTTTTTTTTTGTGAAGAGAGGGGTTTATCAGTAATGTTTTCCACTAGAGCAGACTCGGGGCTGCACTGTTTCTTACCATAATAATAAATTTACAAATTTTCTAATTTCCATTTGCTACCTAACTTTTTGGTTTTCCTTATTTCATCCTTTGATAATACACCTTCCTTTTATGCTTTAATTCACACCAGTGGCATCTCGGACCGGATATTAGCTATGCCAGGCAGTTCTGCTGGGGGAACAGCTGAACTGATAATCCTTTCGAGAAGTGTAATGAGTTCCAGGTTCCCCGACAAGCTAACCACTGGGTGATGCAGCGCTGATCAAAACAACTGGAAAGTTACCTTTTTTTCAGTTAAAAAGCCAGATAATGAATTAGATCAAATTTAAATATCCCAGAGATGCGAATGAGAGTTCTATGAAAGCGACAGAGCGATGTATTGGACTTTACTGCTTACTTAGGGCAGGATTTTTTGTTGCAGGAGCTGAATGTCTGGGAAGATAACTGGGATGACGAAGCGAATGAGAATGATTTTGCTAAGCAGCTTAGGTAATTTTTTTGAAAAATTTTCAAAAAAACAGCTGTTACTTTCAAAAAATTTTCAAAAAAATTTTTTCAAAAAAATCAAAAAAATTTTTTCCAAAAAAAAAGTTTTTTCAAAAAAATTTTTTCCAAATTTTTTCAAAAAAATTTTTTCCAAATTTTTTCAAAAAAATTTTTTCCAAATTTTTTCAAAAAAACAGCTGTTAGCTGTTTTTTTTTTTTGAAATCACGTATTTTCGGTGCTTTTATGCACCATCATGACCCTCCCCGCCTCAGGGTTTCGATATGGGGACCCAGTGTTACGGAGATACAGTCAAATACTGTCGCCACAAATGATTTGCTGGCGGGAAACACGTGTATTGCTTACATAGGGCTTATATAATGCATTCGTACGTGAGACAAAGCATAAGTGTAGGCTAAATTTGGATTTTTGGGATTGCACGTGGATTCGAGATATTATCTTAAAATTTCAGCTTCCT